AAGGAAGGAAGGAGAGGGAGGAAGGAAGAAGGGAGAAGGAGGAAAGAAGGAAGGAAGGAGAGAGGAAGGAAGGAAGGAAGAAAGAAAGAAAAGAAAGAAAGGAGAGGGAGGGAGGAAGGAAGGGAAGAAGGAAAGAAGGAAGGGAGAGTTTACTCTGAATTAGAAACTTCTGGTCTTGAGCAGGTATAGAGCACTGTGGGCGTGAGTGGTGGCCGGGGAAGCCCTGAACTGCAGAGGAGGAGGGGAAGGACCGGTGAGGGGCACCCAGCCACCACTCCTTCCTGGATAACCCTGCCGGTTCCGAGGGCTTTCAGATCCTGATCCCCTGCAGGAAGGATTTTTCTGCCTTACAGGTGCAGAGGGGAACCTGAAAAGCTTCGTGCCTCCCTCAGTCTCTCTCTCCCAGTCTTTCTCTCCAGCCAGGCCAGGCTAGGCTTGCCCCTGAAGGCCTGGCCCTGCCAACCTGCTCCACATCCACAGGGCTGCTGCTGACCCCTAAGTAATGAGTGTCATCATGGGAGGGGGCCATACTGAGGTCTCAAAACTGACACCAGCTCTGTCTCTAGCACTAGGTCCTTCGTGGATTGGGGCTGCCTGGAACTATGTGCCTGCAGCCTCCACTTCATGGAGGTTCTGGCATTGAAAACCCCCAAGGAGCTGAGTGTGGGACTCCCCGGGTTCCCGACTGAGGGCCTTTGCTTCTCACTGAATAGCTGGGTTGATAAGTTCCTTAAGCTCAGCACTCCCGTGTGCTAGACAAGGGCTCCCCCGAAGCACCTCCAGGGGGCTCTGTGAGTGTGTCTGCGACTGCCTCTGGCTGCCCAGACCCTCTCTCCAGGCTCCAGTGCCCATGTGAGCGGCTGCTGCTGTCCTGTCCCTGTGTGTCCCAGCAATCCCCAAGGGTCCTAGCTCACACCCAGTGTCTGGAGAGGACGCCATCCTATCGGCATCCCTCACTCTTCTCTAGAAGGCGAGGCAGTGGGCAGCCTCCTCTCAAGCCCCCGGACGACGCTGCAGCTCAGGCCGCACGGGATTCTGCCCCAGATGTCTGCTGCCATCTGCCCTGGGGAGGAAGGTGGGGCCTCCCCTGGCTGGGCTGAGAGCAGCGCCAGGAGCCAGGAGCCAGAAGGAAGCTGTCCTCCATGCAGTCTCCTGCAGCCCCCAGCACAGCGACAGAGCACGGGCGTCTAGGGCCCGGAGCCCGCAAGCTTCTGCATGCCTGCAAGGGCCACCCTGTGTGCTGTGCACACTGCCCACACGCTCGCGGACACCCACAGTTTGACACGGAATGGGGCAGCTTGGGGGTTCTTCCCACCTAAAGATCTCTTTATAGTTTTATCTTTTCATTGGAGTCTGTTTACAGTGCATGCCATTTGCCATCCTCTTGGCAGAAAGCAAGGTCCCACTCGGGGCTCCCACTGCCCTGTTCTCTCACAGGCTGAGGGGGGACTGCAGTGTGGTGTTCAGGGCCGAGCGCCGGTTCCCCTGCCCTGGCCCCCGTGCGCAGGTCCATCCTCGGATCTCAGGGGTTCTCATTGTCGCCCAGCTCTGGACTCTGGGGCACTAAAAGCTGAGACAAGCATGTTTGCCTCTAATTAAAAGCCATTATGAGGGCTCCTCTGTGGATTTCAGGTTTTTTAAAGTTTTATAAGGAAAATGCACTTGTCTGTTTCCTGTGTAACTAAAATAAGAAAAAAGAGGGCAATAGAGGACTGTGAAGGCACCGCTAAGGAAGGAGGGGGTGCTGCACACGCAGCCAGCGGGGCTCTGGGTGCCCTGGTGCCTGGGGGCTGGGCTGGGCCCCACTCTGTGGAGAAGTGGAGACCTGGGACCTGGTCAGAGGCAGCCTAAGGGGCCCAGCACGGGATGTGTGCTCTCTCGGCAGGCGCAGCATGAAGCGGAAGGCTCTGTTCACCTGCCCCTTCAGTGGAGACTGTCGCATCACCAAAGACAACAGGCGCCACTGCCAGGCCTGCCGGCTCAAACGCTGTGTGGAAATCGGCATGATGAAGGAGTGTGAGTAGCCGGGAGGGGCGGGACCGGGCCGGGCTGGGCTCACCAGAAGGGTCTGGCCACCGCCACGCACATCTTACCAGAGAGTGTCCCTCCTCAGTGGCTGTGGGCATCCCGAACTGGGAGCTGGTGTAGGAGTAGGCCCAGCAGCCCGGGGCACAGCTGCCGGGACCTTGGGGTCAAATGCAGCCAGGACCCTGTCAGTCTCTCTGGTGCTTGAGTCTCAGCCTCAGGGAGCACCTCTCAGAGTGAGGCCTCCGTGGATGGAAGACGAGACAGGCCCTGACCCCTGACCCCCGACCCCTGATCACAGACTTCCTCCAGGTCTTCATACTCCACATGCTTCCCTGGGATGTGTTTCCTGGAGGAAAGGGTGATGACCAAGAAGCCAGTGATCTGGGGGCTGGTGCCCAGGGAAGCTTGGGGAAAGACTCCGTGAGAGGAAGCAGCAGGGCTCCAGATGGCCCTCGAGCTCTGCTGGACAAGAGGAGAGGCATAGCAGGCTCGCAGAGATATTCTGAACCACCACTAAAGAAAAGCTCTGGACTCTGCATTAGAATTCTAGGACAGCTATTTGGTGATCAGAGTAGCCACTGAATTGAGCAGATACCAGAAGCGGCTCACCAGTCCCCCGGCAGGGGCAAGGCCCTGAGGCAGGACCCCTGGAAGAACCCTCTGTGCTGCATCCTTGTCCCTCCATGTATCCATCTGCATTAGGCATCTGAATGCAGCCCTGCTCTAGGACAGAGTCCTGTGTGACCAAGCTATGGATCCAAAGAGACTCGGGAGGGGCTCGGGGGCCCCTGGAAGCCTGTCGCTGTGTGTTAGGAAAGGAGGGTAAAGACAGATGTCAGATGGGTCAGGAGCAAGGGGACAGTGGCAAGAAAGGGTTTGGGGGGTGAGAAATGTCTTCCTTAATGGGAATAAAATGTACTATTGCTGGGCAGCAGAGTCAGGGCCCTCCCTGTGGCCTCCTCTCAGCCCCGACTGAGGCGGCTCATGCACAATCCCGGCTCGCCAACCAGTATGGCAGCCCTGGGCAGCCTTCCCAGGCCTCGCTGCTCCCCCTGGAGTGTGCAGGCCTGGACCTGCAGCCTGATTCCACCCAGGCTGTACCTGCCTCAGCTCCCATGCGTACACCAGGGAGAGTGGGGATGACAAGCCCAGAAGCAGGGCATCCTGAGGCCTATGCATGCGCTCTTAGGGAGCCTGCCCCGTGCAGTGCACCGGTGGTGGGAGGAGGCAGGGCTCTCCGTCCACCCTGCTTCTGCTTCTCATGGTGCCTCCTCAGGGCAGATCCTGGGCCTCTGAGGCTCCCACCATCCCAGAATGGCCAGGGGCTCCACGTCTGGGCCACAAGCACTGAGTCAGGGCCACCCTGGTTGGTGGCCCAGGGGCCTCTGGGCTGCATCTCAGGAGGAGGGGGCATCCTGTTAACCAAGAAGAGGACAAACAGAAGTCAGTGTGGTGCCTCAGATAATCCTCCTCCCATGGATCCCCTGGCCCCCTCCTGCCCACCTGCCCTTGGGACATCGGTGCAGGGAGGTGTGCTGAGCTGTGGATGGGCTGGTGGCCGGGCCCAGGACTCCAGTTAGAGCACGTGTGGGCCAGCACAAAGCATCCTTCAGGCTGCCTGGATGCAGCTCCTGCCTGGGGCTGCCCGCCCTCGTGTGTCTGGGCCTGGAAGAGCTGCTGGGTGCGTCCCCTGTGCTGGCTCTTGTCCCCAAGGCCCTGGCCTCCCTGGAGAGGGTCTAGAGTCTCAACATTTGTAAAACTATAAGAAAGAACTACAAGCCCAGGGTTCAAGGAGAAGAGAGGACAGGCCTGAACTGCATCTGCTGCCACCTGCCATTGTGGGCCACTGTCGTGTGCATGTACTTTCTTCATGGATTCTTACAACAATCTCTAAATCTGTAAAAACTTCTATTTGTTAACAGCTAAGAAGGCTGGAAGGAATTAAAGTGAGAGGCCCTAGAGCTCTGAGATGCCAGTGTTCATTGTAGCGTAGGTCTGTCCTCTGAAGGCCAGGCTTGCGAGCTGTACCCCAGGGCGACCCCAGGAGCTCCCTAGGGGTCAGACTCTCTCCACTGTATGTTTCCAGGGCCTGCCGGGGGCCTTACACGATTGAGTCCCCACAAAGGCCCGTTCTTCAAGCTCAAGACGGTCTATGGCTGAGTTCTTGCGTCGTGCTTGCGCTGTACCCGTCCTGCTCAGAAGCACCTGCTGTGTGGGCTTCAGTGGGTCTGAGTGTGCTTGGCTTTTCTCCCCAGGGTTGGCACAGCACCTGGCATATAGGAGGTACTCAGTAAGTGTGCAGTGAATGAGTGAATATCAGCTCCCATCAGGCTTCTGCTCTCTTTGTACTGTTGCTGGTCTGTAGAGATCAGTAAGATTGTCCCAAATCTGATATGGCCTACGTCATTCATTTTGAAAAAAAATGTTATTTCCTCTTCCTAGCTGTCCTTAGGTACCCCAGCATCTTGAGATGTTTTTCAGTTGCTCGTGTCTATCGTGTTTTGCTTCCCAACTTGATTCTAGACCGCGTTAGACTGGTGCACGTTTTGCGCCGGGGTAGCTAGGGCAGAGCCATTCCTCCCCAGCACGGGGCGCAGAAGGAAGCTGGGACAGCTGTGAGCAGCGAGGAGCATTCACGGTTCCAGGTGCCGCAGCTCACCGGCTGCTGCGGGCGGGCAGGCGGTGGGCAGCCCAGCAAGCCTGAGCTCCTGCTGGGTGCAGTCGCTTGTGTGTTCCTGTCCTCCCTCCTACTTAGGAGGCTCAACCAGGGCGATCGAAAGTTTGAGGCTGGCCTGGGCAATGAAACAATTTACCGAGACCTTGTCTCAAAATGAAAAATAAAATGGGCTGAGATACCTCAGTGCTGGGTTCAGTCCTCAGTACTCAAAAAATAAAACAGTAAATCCTCAGGCCAGGGAGACAGCTCAGTAGCACAAGCGCCTGCCTAGCAAGCACAAGGTCCTGAGTTCAGTTTCCATACCAAAAAAAAAAAAACCCCAGTAAATCTCTTAGCTTATTCTAGGTCAGTGTCTTTTTACTTCAAAACATATGTCTTCCTGTATGACCTCAGTTATTTGAGAAAATGATTTATAAGTTCAATGAAATTAGCACCCTTGCACAAATTATTTCATGAGGTCACAGCAGTATCTGCCTTTTTCATGAGGCTGTGGCTCACCAAGTCTGCCCACTGCGGCCAGAGAGGCGCTTTCCGCGTCCACCTCCGCATGCTCCCCTCCACGCCCCAACAGCTCTGGAGGCACGTGACTAGGGGCCATGTTGTGAGCCTAACTGTGGCTCTTCTTTGTCTTCTCAGTGTGAGTCAGGGACAGGCCTTGCTGCTCTATGTAGTTCTCACACACTGCGGATGCCCCGGGTGCCAGGTCCCGAGGCTGAGAGCCAGAGCCCAAGCACAGTCACCAGCAGCTTATTAATCAGACGCAGGAGGCTGGGCTGTGGTTGCAGCCGCTGACTCCAGAACCGGACTGCCGGGTCTGCATTCCAGCTCCTCCATGCATTAGCTGTGTGGCTCTGGGCACAGCAGGGAGCTTCTGCAGTCCTTAGCTCCTCATCTGCAAAATGGGAGTGATAGCAGCCCCTGCCTTGGAACATTAGGACAAAGACGAAATACTGATGTGAGTTGATGTACAAGAAGCACTTAGAATTGTGTCTGGTACATCTTTAAAGACTCTGCACGTTGTCTGTGATTATTATCTTTTTATTCCACCAAGCTTGATCTCCAGGATCCCTGACGCCTAGCAATCACCCTTTCCAGGGCAGCAAGGTACACTTGGGAGCCAGGCCAGGGGGAGGAGACAGCGCTCTGACCCTGCACCGTGCAGAGAAGCAGCACAGCCTCGGAGCTCAGAACCTGGTCGGCAAAGTGCAGTGCTCATTCACAGAACTGCCTCTGAGTCGTGGGGAGAAGGCTGTGGCCTGCTGCGGGTGTGGCACTGTCACATAGTCTGTCTTGCAAACATTTCAGTCACAGTTAGTTAAGTCAAAGAAGCAAGCTGTGCTCAGCTCCCCTGGTGCGCTGCATTGCAGAGTGCTGGTGGCTTGGGGCGCTCCTCACTCTCCTTCCCTGAGCCCAGGAAAGTGGCCTGCACAGGGGGTGTGAGCGAGTCACTGTGTTAATCCTTTGGTGCAGACCACCCAGCAAACAGGGCCAGCCGAAGCCTCCTAGCTGTTTTTCAGGGGCAGGGCAAGGCCCTCCTGCTGTGCTCCGTGGTGTCAGGAAGGTGGTCCTGAGCGCCTCAGGCTTTCTGCAAGCTCTAGCATGACTAGAGGACAGCGAGGTGCCACCGTGCACAGGAAAGGCCGCATGCCGGGCACGAGAAGCGGGAACTCCGTGCAGATGGGCAATCACGCAGGGCTGTGTGGCAGGAGGCGAGGGAGGGACGGGGCTCTCACAGCCGGGGAGGTACCAGCACCAACGGAAAGGCAGTGGCAAGTGTGAGCAGGTCGTGCCTGCAAGCCCACGTGCCCAGCAGCCTGGAGCGGAAGTTCAGCCTGGAGGTGCAGGAATGGACTAGAGAGTCAGGAAGAAGTCGGGTCGTGGACAGCCTCGACTTTGGCTTGGATGTGGTAAGCAGCACAGGGCCAGCAAAAAAGCGTTAGCTAGACAGCAACACCACAAGACGGGGGACACTGAGGCCCAGTCAGCTGAGCAGCACACCTGAGGCCGTCCAAAGTGTGACTGGCAGCAATTGGTCTCCCTAGCTGTCCACCCCTCAGACAGCAGACAACGCTCAGATGCCTACTCCGGCCCCCTGCTTTGCCTGAAGGGTGCCCTGCTCTCCCCCATCTTGCCTGACCTCTTAGGGTCTGAGCAGACAGCCTCTGTGGGCGGAGGCCTGGCATCTCTTTGGGTAGTGAGTCACTCACTGGGGCGTGGCCTCACCCAGCCCTCCTCTTGGGTGCCTGACTTACTTACC